GCGTTGGTGTGCGCCCGGGATCCGAACCGGCAAACCCCGGGCCACCGCAGGGGAGCACGCCCACTTAACTGCTTGCGCCACTGGGTCGGCCCCCAATCATTACTCTTAACTTGGCTCTTAGTGGTTAAATGTTCTTGAGAAACAGCCAAATAGACCTCTTGGTTTTTCCTCCCAGCATTTTCATAAGTGATTTACCTTCTGGAAAATCAGTTGGAGGTTTCATTATAAAAACACCTCTTTTAGTATGCATGTGCATTTTAGATGACCTTAGGATATAGTTTCAGGAGACACTCTGATGAGACTATAGGTGTGAGAGAATGGAAATTTCCACAGAAGTGCGGTGAAATGACCTGCCTAAAGCCAAATAAACTCTTTCTCAGATTGACATTTGTGACACTCGTTTTCTTGGCTTTTGGCGCTTTTAAAAAAGTACATGAAATCAGTGGTAATCAATCTATGTATGAGGATTATCTGGCAAGCTCTCTAGAAAAGCACCTTCCCGTGTTCTCGTTAATCAGTAAGTCTGTGGTGGGGCCCAACAATCTGCATTTTTAATAAGCATCCTGAGTGATCCTGTGAAATGGACCACATCTTAAGAAACACTGCATTAACTTTTCATAGTCGTCTATTTATGTGACTTATGCATGCAGTTCTTTTCAAGATTTCTTCCTTTACTCCTTCCCCTGGTGGCCACTTTATTTGTAATTTTGTGTATATCCCAGTAAAAGAAAAATTTCTTTACCTCTCATCCAAAGCCCCTGGAAACATGCCTGAAAGATAAATCAGTAGTATTTGTTCTACTTTAAGAAGTAATTAGGGGCCAGCCCCGTGGCTTAGCGGTTAAGTGCGCACGCTCCGCTGCTGGCGGCCCGGGTTCGGATCCCGGGCGCGCACCGTCGCATCGCTTCTCCGGCCATGCTGAGGCCGCGTCCCACATACAGCAACTAGAAGGATGTGCAACTATCACATACAACTATGTACTGGGGCTTTGGGAAAAAAAAAAAAAAAGAGGAGGATTGGCAATAGATGTTAGCTCAGAGCCGGTCTTCCTCAGCAAAAAGAGGAGGATTAGCATGGATGTTAGCTCAGGGCTGATCTTCCTCACAAAAAAATAAATTAAAAAAAAAAGAAGTAATTAAATTCCAAAGATTTCCATAAAGGTAGTAGTAGCAATAAAGTGGAAGTTGAACTTCAATTAGTTTTTCTGGTATTAAGTAGATTAAGGCTTTGAATCTTGGAGTGTTATCTGTTTTCTCTTAACTGGAAGATAGTTCATGCCATTCTTCTGTGTTCTGAACACATCACGTCAGGTACAAGTGAAATATGTTGGAGAGCTGCATTGATTCTGTGAAATTACTTCTCTTAAAGCAGGCTTTCTCAAATATGAGTCATTGACTTACCACTTTCAGAATTCCTGCTATATGTCTGTACTAAGTATATTCTTATTTACTTGATATTTTTATTTAAACCAGCTCACTATTTTTACTTCCAGTTAGTTTACAACAAAAACTTAATATCTCTTCTGTACATGGAAAACTAGTATTATTTAACATTGGTGGGTAATGATAAAAATAAATACAATGAAAATAACTATGTTATTAAATTTTGGAAATTGAAGCAAAAAAACCCTAATGAAATACAAATAATACTAAATCTATTTGATTTGCAAAATATACATACAATATCTGCAAAAAAAACTCCTTGAATTAGAATGGTTCTGTTTGTGCCTAGCCAGCTATAAGGGGATATTCAGCTCACTGTCACTTAATTTAAGGTAAAGTTTTACATCAACATTTTCTTTCTTAACCAGTCCAACTGCTATATGGTTTTAGGGCAGTTAGCCAGTTGATAACATTAGATTTTAATAGAGATCTGTGTACTTTGAACAGTGGGGAGGGAATACAAAAAAGCTAGATTACCTACTCCTATCCCTATAAGCTGACACTTATGCTGATCTTCACCTCAGAAAAAGGAATTCTAAGAAACCCCATGAAATTAAAATAACTTCTTTTTCTCTCTGTGTCCTGGGGCCTTTGCTTGAGGGCAAATTGGGTTGCAGTGGAGACAAGGCTAGGCATTCCCTAGCATGATACTGGACTTCCTGTGCAGCTTTGGATCATGGAAGAATATGACATTCAGGATGTTCTAGGTGCTATAGCAGAGTGCAAACATCCACTGTGACTGCTGGGTCACAGCTGCTTCTCTGCATGCTGCTGCTGACATCCAGGGAGAGACAGCAGCATGAGTCTTCTGGGTGGCCTTAGCAGGAAGCCTGTGAAGTTTTCTTCCACTTGCTGTGAAAAATCATGTCATGTGCCACTACAGTTCTTGTGACTTAGGGAAATGGTGCTTTAGACAGCGGTTCCCGAAATGTGTCTTAAGCAATGAAATAACACCTGTTGCTCCCCACCTTGTTCTCTAAATAGTCCTGGTATGGACCTAACAGCTATTTAAATGTGGTCCTCCAAGCATCTGATAGTTGTATTATAGTATTGGGAATCTTGTGACTACCAACTCTTGCTAAGTGCTAATATCTGTTTTGTATAGTTGAGTCACTGTGAAGCAGCGCTTCTTGTGTAATAGTATAATTAATAATTGAAAGACTGATTTGTTAGGATATGACTAGAATAACTAATTGTCCTCATTTTGAAAGTCTAGCTTGTGAGATTTCTAAGTAGCTGAAGGATGGATTGATCATTAGGTTGAATTGGCAAAGAACCATAGGCAAGCTGCAGATTTCTCTTGCAGATGTTTTTTCCAAATGTGAATTCTGAAGTCAGGGCGGTTGCTGCTGTAGTGGCTTGGCACTGGGAGCTGGAGCATCAACAGCAGCTGTTTCTGGGGCCTCTGCTGGAGTCTGAAGGAGATCCTGCTGTGCTGTTTCTTCTGTCTTGCCTGTTTGGCTTAATTTCCCAAGTGGACATGAGGCTCTGAGCATCTTCTGGCTTGCCACCTGGAGGCTGTGTAACTCTCTGCAAAGCTTCCATTAGTGTCAAAAGAAAGTAATATGTTCACTTGATCATTTGAGTCACTTGGCATCACTCCTACCCTCCATATCCCCTGTCTTTAAAACCCCCCCTCAAAACCAACCCAAAGCACCTAAATCATTTAGTAACTGACTTCCTGCCAAATGTACTTATTTTTGATTTAGTTAAGTTCAGCCAGAGTATTCACTGGGGGGTGGGGAGGTGGAGAGAAGGAAGGGAAACCTTCTGCTGTTTCTGAAGGTACACTTAAGGATATTCATTTAAAGTGGTACCATTACCTCACTGTACCCAGTTTCTTAGAGACTAAGCAGGTCGGCTTGATAGTGAATCTATATCTCACTTGAAAGGGAAGAAAATGAACTTTATAAAAAACTTGTATATGTGCTTTTTTTGTAACATTACTTTTTTTTTTATCTTGAACGTGATAAATAAATATTGAGAATTTTGATTCTTCACACCTGGTCTGTGCATTTTGTACTGGCCTCTAAAGGAAGCTTTTGCAGAGATGGTTGCTGGATATTACCTGTTTTATTGCCAACCTTAGAGACTTATAACAGATATGGCCCTTAATCTTATTGTGCTCATGAGCTTGTAGCTATCCTTTATGGTTCCCAATCTAAATGTTTATGGCATAATTACTTATATACGTTACATAACGTTTAGTGAAAATCCCCTATTACCTCAGAAAGATCTGTGTAGAAATTTTCCGTTAGTCAGAACATGATAATGGTTTAAGAAAATTTATGTAAACCTTTTTACAGTTAAGTAGACAATGTTTTTAAAGATGGAAAAAATATATCAAAATATCCAACATATACCTTAGTTTTAAAAATATTATTAAATGTGAGAGTGTGCAAAATGCTTTGGACTTGCCTCCGCCCCTGTACATTACTGCACTAAGGGCACGATCTGCTCGCCGCAAGACAAAAGCCAATCGTCAAGAGGCAAGATGGTGGAAAAGAAAGGGCAGTTTATTACAGCTTGCTAGCAAGGGGGAAGATGGCAGACTAATGTCTGAAAGAACTATCTTAAGGGGGCACAAAATTTTATAGTGGTTACATAGGCTGGTGGGTTACAGGGGAGGTGGTTAGGAATGTTGACCTTCTGGTGTTACAGACTGGGAGAGCCACACCAGATCTTTCAGTTTTCATTGATGATGGCTATCAGCATAGACTCTCTGTTGGGGGGTCATCCTATTCCTAAGGAACTCAAAAGAACAAAGTTACCATCTTATCGCAGTTGGGAGGTACATGCACAAACAGGGGTCATAAAATCTACAGAGCAGTTAGATCTCCTGGAGGGTACATATCCAGCTGGGTTAGTTTGTCAGAGGTCATTACAAAGGGTTTTTCTTTTCTACAATATGGCTTCCCTTATGTCAACCTTGTCTTGAGCCCGTATCACACACACTTCCAATCTTACTCTTTCTATTGATATTGACAGTTTGCTCTTTCAGCTTTGGGAGGATGCTGTTGAGTAGACTTTATATTGTTTGAAAGGCTTTGTTAAAAAACACTTAAAAAAAGAGAACACACTAACAGAAGAACATCCCTAACCCCTCATAAAGAAAACGAACTCAGAAACTGGAGAGTAGCGTATTTAAAAAGCATAGTTGTCTAAAGCTCCTTTATGAATTTGTTTGGCATTTACTGTAGATCATCTTGGTAGCTTTTTGAAGGAAACATGACACTAAAGGTCATATAGTCTTTCACTTTAAAGCAGGATCATCAAGCTTAGACTGAATTCTGACTATGTGTTAAATTTCTGATTTGTAGACATGGGAAATTTTTTTTATATGAACCCACTGTTCTATTCTGTTTTAGACATCTTTCTTATGGAAAAGAAGACAGGAGACAAATCAACCTGTACCTAGTGAAAAGGATAATAATACATAACATTTATTGAATACTTATGTGGCAGGCACTGTTCTAACTACTTTTTGCTTGTACTGATTTACTTAGTTTTTCCGACAATCCTGTGAGGTACAGATACTCTTTATAATCTCATTTTATGGACTAGGAAACTGAGGCGCAGAGAAGTTAAATAACTTACCCTAGGTCACGTAGGTCATAGATGGCACAGCTAAGATTGAAACCCTGGCAGTTTGACTCTATAGTCTACTATGCTGAATTGTCAGTTAAAGAAGACACTTATGTAATTATTTAAATTTTGATTTCAGTCATTGTAAATGTGGCATTCTTCCATTGGGTAGGAATTTGGTCTCCATTATTAAGATCTCCACGGAAGTGATGAAGCGTGTGTGGTCTGTTACTGATCCTTCTTTCCTTCCACTCTACCTTTGGAATCTGTAATAGTTCTAACTGCTTGGAGGAGAAAAGAATGGCATGTGAAAAACAACGTGACGTGGATTTCAGTTGCTTAGTTAATTGCTTTACAACCTACTGGGGGCTTAAAGCTTGGCAAGAGAGACTTGCATTTACTTGTGTAGAAGTCTTTTTGTGTAGGAATCTTAAAATTTCCTATAATGAACTGCATTAATTTACTTGTACCCTGAATATTCTCTTTTTGCCTAGCATGTTTCGGCAAGGGATGCATGACTTAAAAGTCTGGCCTAATGTAGAAGCAGATGGATCAGAACCTACAAAAACTCCTGGCAGAACAAGCAGTACTCTCTCAGAAGATCAGATGAGCCGCCTTGCCAAGGTAAAAAAGAAACTATTGGAACAGACGGAAAGCTCTGAATGATGTCTATTGTAGTATAGAATGACATTATGAATTCTGTCAGATTATTTTTTTAATTTAAATTTAATTTTTTAATAATAGTTTTATTGAAATATAATTCATATACAGTCATGCGCTGCATAACAATGTTTTGATCAACAATGGACTGCATATACGATGGTGGTCCCAGAAGATTAGTACCGTATAGTCAAGGTGTGTAGTAGGCTACACCATCTAGGTTTGTGTAAGTACATGCTATGATGTTCGCAGAAGGACGAAATCGCCTAATGATGCATTTCTCAGAACGTATCCCCTTCGTTAAGCAACATTTGCCTATGCCATAAAATTCACCCTTGGAAAGCATACAGATCAATAGGTTTTAGTAAATTCACAGAGTTATGCAGTCATCACCACTATTTAATTTTAGAATATTTTCATAACAAGTATAACCATATACCCATTAGTAGTCACTCCCCATTCTCTCTTCCCTCCAGCCCCTGGCAACTACTAATCTACTTTCTCTGTGAATTTGCCTATTCTGGACATTTCATATAAAAGGGAATCATACAATATGTAGCCTTTTGTGACAGGAATTCTGTAAGATTTGACATTGTGGATATTTTGGTGATATCTTCAAGATGACCACCCTACCTTTTTTATTGACATAGATGCAAGAGTTACGTGCTAGAGATTCTTAGGTTGTTTGGAAGTGAAAATTCTTTATACTATTAGGTAGTCTAACTTGCCCTCGCTTCACCGTCCCGCCCCCTCCTTTTTGTAAGCAGACTGAGTTATTACCTTTTTGTTTCAAAATTGTTTTAATGAAGTGTTTTCATTTAGAAATACAAAAACAGCTCAATTCTGTACTTAAATCACAAAAATATAACTTATTTTGTGAATATCCATTCACAAAACACTATGCTAGATACTGTTTAAAGATCCTTTTACAATTCTTTTATTAAGAGACTTTTTTCTAATTCTTACATGTAATTTTCCTTTGCAATCTTGTTAGTATGGATGTCTCGTTAATGAATGGAGAAAGTTTTGTTGCCAAGCATTTTACAGCTTGTTAACTCAACCTACATATGGAAGAAATCTTAATTATAAGGAATAGGTATTTGCATTGGCCGGACTTTGTGTTTCAACATAAAATTTTTATTGTCAAGTTCATTGTATGTCTTTTTGTATTGTTCTTTTATGGAAAAATGATGTCATAGCTACCTAATAAACTTTTAAACCAAATTACTATTGTCAGCTTTCCTCTCCATAATTAAATAAATAAAATTTAATTTTCATTTCAGCTACACATTCTGAGATTTTGTTTACATTCTTACATGGAATATGGGAAAGTTCTCAAGCTTTTCTTATGTCTACCTTCTCTTTAAGAGTTTATCCTGGTGATGAATTTTCATTTAGTCTACTCTCTGTGACTTTTGTAAACCTTGAATATTAACGGAAATTTTATCAGAATCAGCTCATTTATAGCCTGTGGATCACTATAATGTGAAAAAGGTTAAATCTCAAGTGTAAGAGGAATGTAGCATGTGTTGAAGAAGCAAAAGGTTTACATGCTTTAAAGAATAGTATTATGACTCATATTATGGATAAAATTACAAATTTGAAGGAGAATGGGAACAGTCAAGAAATATAAAGCTGTATGGTTGACAATTCATCTACTTTGTTGTTCTGTTAAGCAAATTATTTAGGCATCTGTTCACATGTTCCTAATTTTTTTTCCCAATTATTTTTGATGGAAGGTTCAAAGATAATTTTTATAACATTTTTATAACAACTGACTATGACATTTTTCAAACAGCAGTATATGTGTCTTTGGAATTTGTTTGAACTGGACTTCTGGCTTTTTAATGTAGCATGATGTTATAGTATACATTTCTTAATTATCTTTTGAATTTCATGGTAGGAAAAAAAATGTGACTTGATGAACTTTTTTATGAGTGAAACAATAACCCCTTAAAGAGCCATATGGGTTCATATTTGTCTTTTAGTTATCAGTGCACATTAGCAACTTTAGAAACGATGACTAAGCATATGCAGAGTTAAAGGTGTAGGGAAGAATCCTTCTTAACATTTTTGTTAATTGGTAACAGTTATCATCAACAGTCTAAATTTTTTATATTGAAGAGTATGACAAGTTGGGTCCTACTTTTTCAAGAACTAGTTATTAAAATTTAAATGCTGTCTGTATTGCCAGAGTAGTTAACAGTTTTCAAGAGAGTCTTTATGCACTGGTTTCTAAATCTTTAAAATAGGAATAAAAATTAATGAGACTAAGCATCTTACAGTCTTTCTGATGCTAACTGGAGATGAGCTCTTTTCAAAATTTTTTGCCCATAATAGAATTGTACTTTTGCTACTGAATAGAGTGGAGACTTCGGAGCTTGCTCTGCTGTGACAGCTTGCATTAGTCTCATGTTCCCCAGAGACTACAGAGAAGCCATCAAAAGCAGTAATTACTTTTCTTAAGGGGAAAAAAACGCATCATGTTTGTAGCATTGTTGAAGGAACTGCTCCATCTTTGAAGGAAGCTCTTTTTATTTTTTGGCTCTGTGGGCTAATATGTTTCATTCTTTTCTATACAGCAGTTGGTCATAATGTTTGAGGTTTCAGAACCTGTTATATCCCTGCTGCTATTGAAGAAGAATGTGCTTTTAACATTACATCTTGGGTTTGATACATTGGAAGCTTGGATACTTGGAAGCACTTTACAGTGAGAAGAGAGAGCACTGTAGTATGAGTCAGATTTGGCCATCCTTCTGACTCAGGGAAAAGAATTGTTGAACTTATAAGATCAGAAGTTTAGAATGGGTGATTTCTAAGGTCCTGTGTAGCTATTTATATTCTATGATTCTAAAAGTACTGAAATAGCAAGTAATTTATCTATCTGGACTTTCTAGTTATCACCATAAAAATATACTTTTAGAGATAATATACTATATATCTCTAATAGTAGATAAGAAACGTGCGGTCATCAGTTTGCAATTGTGAATGTGTTGTGTTCACGTCGTTCCTTTTCTTCTGCAATGTGTGTGCAGAGAGTAGAGCATTATTCGGGGCCTGCCTGATGTTAATGATGTGGCTGTGCTCTTCGATGTTGTTTTTGTTGTTTGATTAGTGCTTGCTTCTTTACTTAAATTTTTCAGACTGACTTCCTGAAAACTCTTTCCTCACCCACTCCATAGTGTTTCCCTTGCCTTATACCGGAGAAAGTATACTTTGATATTTGTTGTGGTTTTAACTTCTTAACTTACCAGAGAGAATATACTTTGAAGATTTTATTTATTTATTTTTTCCCCCCAAAGCCCCAGTAGATAGTTGTATGTCATAGCTGCACATCCTTCTAGTTGCTGTATGTGGGATTCGGCCTCAGGATGGACGGAGAAGTGGTGCCTCGGTGCGCGCCCGGGATCCGAACCCGGGCCACCAGCATCGGAGCGCGTGCACTTAACCACCAAGCCACGGGGCCGGCCCGAGAGAATATACTTTGATACTTATTATATTCTTAACTTAAAGTCATACTTCGATATTTGTTTTCTTCTGAAAGTTGTGCCACAGCAGCTCTCTTTCTTCCTCCTTCCCTCTTAGTCCTCCGCCCTCCTTCTCTCATTTTTCTGGTTCCGCATGGAAAAATTTGTTCAGTTAGATTGTCATTCTCTTCCTGAAAACATTTTAAAATTGTTTTTGGTACAATATGCTTTTAACAACTGGGAAAGAATGTGTATACTCACGTTTCCACTTTCATACAAAAGGAACAGAAATTTTAGATGTAATACTCATATTTCTCACACTACCATTTTAAGAAAAGAAATGAGTATTCAAATAGATGTGGTTTAAGTTGTTAGAACTGAATGATTTATTTCTTGTTGCACTTTGATTTTCCAGCAAGTGAATTTACTATGATTGTTTCTAATTGTTGAGAAGGAAGTTGGCTTAAGAGTAAAAAAGTGTACACAAATCTTAATAATAGCAATGCATAGTTACCATGCATTGTACCCATGAGCCAAAATAAATAGCATAGTGACAGTTTTCAAACTGCAGTGTAAGAAAGTTTATTCAGTTATAGAACTGCTTCAGTCTTGGCTGCCTGGGGATAATGGGACAAGAGGACTGTGAAATGAAGATGAACTATTTAAATGGCCTGTGAAAAGATGGTGCTAGATAATTATTAAGCAAAGAACCTCAGTCTCAAGCTGGACTAAATAGTCTTATTCTGACTTATTGCTCAGCTATGAAAGTTGAGTTATAACTGCAATATGAATAACTGAAGTTTAAAAGCCTAATTTCTAGGTTTAACATTTCTTAAAATCCTTTCAGAAGGATTTCAGTAGAATTAACGTCTCTAATGATTTTACATCATTTTGTGAACATGCCTAGTTTTTCTTTGAGGAAAAATGAGTGTGAGAAAAGGAAACAAAATTGAATTTGAGTTTAGTTCTTATTTTTTATAATTTGGATTTCTTAGACTCAGTAGGGAACAGGAAGAAATGAATGTATTAAAATATACTGTTTTTCCCCCATCTTCCTCATTATGTTCCCTTTCCCATCTCTAAATTTCCCTAATTAATTTTTATTCACATAGTGTCTTTCTCTTTGATTTGTGAAAATAATCAAAGGCCAGACTTCTGGGGCATTTATTACACTTCCATTATCCGTGACCCAGCCTTTTAATGATTGTGGGCCTTCCTTGAGCAAATTGAGCCATTGTTCCCATCTGCTCATTTTCTCAGCTTGTCATATTGTAAGAGTTTTATGACCAGGATGCATATCCACGTGGGGTTTGGGATGTGACTACCAAGCTTTAGTGTTTGATTTATATTTGAATCCATGTCTTTAGACATGAAAGGTGAGTGCAAAAGTGTGCTTCTCCACTGTCTTCCTTTCATTTTAGCAGCTCTGCTTGATGCCTTTGGAATGTGCTTTAGTTTCTGTCAATTTGATTAAGAGGAGGCAAAGAAAAAGTAATG